GGGAGAACCTAGAAATCATAACATTAGGGAATTACTTAGCTTAAGTAAACTTAGTATTGGCCTAGGTTTGAACTATACTTCCACTACTCTTTAATTAATTCACTATAAAATTATCGAAATAAATAAAACTTTTAAATAAGATTGGAGACCTGAAAACTTGAAGACCTGAAGAAATTTCAGTAAGGAACTTGGAGCAGACTTCGTGGGCAGCTCGTTCAATACCCAATCATTAGTTTAAATAACAATTCTTAGGATTTTGAGGTTGTCTTTTATTACATAAAACCTCTCTTTTTGTTAGGCTCCTATATAGTCCCGATATGCCGCATGTCCTAACTTGTTTTAGGCTCCTATCTTTCTAGACTTTTTGCGTAAATTATCATTACACAAATCTAAGCCCTAATTAATAAAACTGACAAGAGTTAACTTAAATTAAATCATCCTAAATTGAGCCAAACATTAGTATAGTTTAGGGGATAACCAAGAACTTATTATGGATCTTTAATCTCTCATACTTTTCTTCCTTTGATTCTTAAAACAAAATCTTTCACCTTTGAACCAATCCCTATTGAAAGTTTCACAATCATGTTCGTTGAAAACCTTTCCTTTTAAATTCATGAAAATAAAAGATTCCTGATTTTTATCGAGAGTTTTCTTAAGTGATCTATTCACTTAAGATGTAATTAACTATAGGTGCTTACCCTTATGGGGAACTTAAAAGAACCCAGACTTAAAATAAACTGTATTTGACTCTCATATCCCCAGACTTAAAATAAACCCTATTTGACTCTCATATCGAATAGGGGAATCTGTCGGTCATCATGCAAACTTGCAGATCAAACGGAAGTTATTTATTTCTATAGTTTATTTAATTGAGCTTATTATCAAGCATTGTATTACCTTTCAGGGTGGTACATTACTCGTGGTTAGCTCGATTATCCAAACTGTAGGAATCAATGAGATCAGTTTACCTCATTTTCTTTAAATTAAAATACTTAATTTCTAAACATTATATTATGCTAAATTAAACCACACCCAGTCGCATGGCGACCGACAAAGCACTCTCAATTCTCTCCTAAAAATTTAATGAAAAAGAAATTTGTCACCTTCCCTCTCCTCATACAATCCTTGAAGAAAATCTTAAAGCTCTTGAATTTCTCTCTCACTCTCTCTCTTTCCTTCTTCTCACTCTCAAGCCACACACACACACAAACACCCACTCACCACCAACTCACGCCCCAAAACTCATATTCAAGCCCTAGACTTCCCTCTCTTTTATAAAAGGCTGTCTCCCTCCAAAAAAGAATTCAAAATTCCCCTTAAAATTCTATTCAAAAGTTAACTCATTTGAATTCAAGACACGTCCATTGATCCATGAGTCATATCTCTTCATAAAAGAGTCATCTAAAGCTCCTAGATGCATTAAATCACTCCATGGGGTGTTTAGAACAAGTGTCACTTTGAAAATTTACGTAAAAACTCATCCTGAACCACCTTAATCCGCAAAAAGTTGTCTTTGGTGCATCTGGTGCCAAATCGGCGCATCATGTGCTAGTTCTTTGGATTTTGGCGCATCATGCACCGGTTTGGCGCATCATGCGCACCCCGGAACAGCTCCACTGTTTTGCTCTGTTTGGCTCCGTTTCAACTCTAATTTGCCCCGTTTCAGTTGTGTATTGCTCCTAACAGATATACCTACAAAATAAGCATAAAACAACATTTTTTTAAAGTGTAATTTCATTCAAAAACATGTAAAAAATGTAAAGTAGATGAAGCATAGAAAGACATATCGAGATGTGCAAAGTCAGAATTTTCTTTCTTGCTTGTTTTTACTTCAAATTGCACCATTTTTGCTTCATTTTCTCCAAAATTTCATTTCTTCTACCTGAAATCAAAAATATGCAAAATACATTCCTTTAAAGTGTAATATCATTAAATATTATTAAAATTGAGCATAAAATAGATATGACAAAGTAGGTAATTTTTATGCGGATCAAACACCACCTTGACACCGTGACAAAACCCCACAATAACACTACATTTTCGTTGCAAAACCCCATAATAACACCACAACACAAACGTAATACTACCATAATAGTACTGTCACCCCGCAA